CTCCAAAATTCCTCATATTCAAAAAAAAAAAAAAAAATGGGGTTCATTGGTTAAAGGGGAAATTTTTTTTTAGAAAGAAAGTTTTTATTTAGAGAGTAATTAAAAAAATATTGTACAAAAAATTAAGAAATTTTGTAGTAAAATTTTGTAGTAAAATTTTGTTGAAATTGTTGGATTGTTAATTTTTTTATATTTGATAATAAATTAATATAAAGTTAATAAGAAAGTTATGAAATGAATTTTATATACGGAAAGTTAAGAGGAATTTTTTTTTTCAAAATGTGCAAAAAGAAAATTTTAGAAGTTAAAAATTGTATTCGAAAAAATATAAGTTAAAAATATCATTTTTATTTTCCTTTTGTTTTACCATTAATTAGTGAAAGTTACGTAAATAACTTTATAAAAGAAATTTTAGAAAAAAATAGAGAAAGAATGAGGTGGCAACCAAACACCTCATCGGGGTAAGTCTTGAGGCTTAAGAGGAGGTTTAGCCTTTCCAATTTTATTAGATACTTTTGAAATTGATTGAGAAACAAATTTTATCATATAATTTTTTCACATAATGTTACTTGTTATTCAATAGTTAATTTTTTCTATTTTATTAGGATTTATAAGTGTATTTAATAATATATGAAAGTTATAAATAAAAATTATATAAATAAATTTCCTATATACCATTGCTCCTTATTCTCTCTTATATTCAAATTCTTCTCCTTCTTCTAGCTCTCATTTTCCTTAATGATCGGAGTGTCAAGCTAGAAATCAACTCAAGTTTTAGCTAAGCTCTAATGCCTGGCTATTCTACAAGCTTTTTCGATGACAATAGCTGTGATATCACTTTTCCTTGATTGGAGGAGACTTATTCAAATTGAAAGAATGACTACAGCTTTTTTTAGGTTCAACTACACATGAAGAGTTGATTGAATGTGATGTCAATAAGATATATAATCTCCTATTAGACAAGTTATTAAACTAAAGTTGTTGGAAAAACATTTATAAAAGTAAATTAGAGGGAGGATTAAGAGTTAGGGAACTTAGAAAGTTTGATCTTGCACCGCTAGGCAAATGGTGGTGGTGAGGAAGGACTTTTATATAAGATTATTAGAGAGAAATATGGAGGTGTGGAAAGTAACTGGGTGAACTGGGTTAGGGAGGGGGATCAAAAGGGATCTTTATGGAGGAGGAATGTTTGTATGATTGATTACACTAATCATAATATGGCTGGGTGGCTTTTGGATGATTTTAAACTTAGACTAGGAAAGGGTAAATCTATTTGTTTTTGGAAGGATGTGTGGGTAGGTATAGGCCTTTGCTAATAAATTTCCTAGATTGTTCTTAAATTCTACAGATAAAGATAAGAGCATAATCTTCCAAATGGACACTTGAATTGATGGAAGCTTGGCATTGGTCTCTACATTAAAGACTATCTATATTTCCATGGGAGGAAGACATGCTGTCATAATTTCAAAGTCTACTAGAAACCATCTATCCAATCCAAGGATGGAAGGACCGCTGGGTTTGGGAGCATGAGAAGAAGGATATCTACTCTATGAAGTTTGGATATCTTGTTTTATTAGAAGCCTGAGTGACAATAGGTGATGGTTACATGAAAGAGTATGGAGCATACTTATTCCATCTAAAGTTAAAGCATTTGTGTGGCAAGTTCTGCAAGACAAAATTTCTATGCAGTTAAATCTTATAAAAAGGGTATCATTATCGATAGTAGCCTTACAACTTGCTATTTTTGCAGTGAAACCAATAAAAACGTTAATAATGTGTTTTTACATCATAAGCTTGCATATTACGTGCGGTCTAAGTGCCTTTAGTGGTGGGGGAATCATTTCAGTAAGGTTTGGTAATTGTTTTGAATCATTTGAGCAACACTTTTCACTCTTTACTAATATACAAGTGTGAGCTGAATGGGATGTGGTATGGTTCTCAATTATTTGGTCCTTATGAGTCGTTACAAATGCAAAGATTTTTAGAAATTGTGAGTATAAAGCTGCCAGGATTTTTGAACTTGTTTAATTGAGAACTTTTCATTGGACTAAAGGCAAGTCTTTTAACTTTTTATTTTTATTTTTATTTTTATGAATGGATGTGTGAACTTATCCTATGTTTGAAAGAGAAATATAGCAGGTAATCTAGACATGCATTTGGTGTTTCAACTGCTAGGGCTTCGATTGCTCAAACAAAGAACCAAATTTTTACGTTTTTATCTATTTTTGTCTTTTTGCTTGGATGATGTATGTCGGAGCTCTTCACTGTTTCTTTAGGTTCATTGTAAATGTTTTTGTATGATATAATGAGCGTAAGTACTTCTTGTACTCCATTTAACTTATTCCTTTTTGCTGTGC